ACCTCTCACCCTCTTTCTTCTCTTCATCGATGACCTTTAATCACAAAGTTTTAACCTAATTCATGCCTCCGCTAATGATGCTACCCTACATTGTTACCTTTCTGATACTTTTCTTTTCTTTTTTCACCATTACTCACGATCGATTGTCCGGGCGTGCTTCCCGCGATTCCGACCTGAAGGCAGTCACTGTTTGAGACACTAGAAACAGAGTTGTTTTTTGATACCACTGAAACGTCTTTGATGTATATTTCCCGTAAACGTAACTCGTATACTTCTTGTCCTTCTACTGTCGTTTGCTTCTTTCTACATCTTCTATAGTCCTACTTGGCCTCCGATGTTCTTCTATACGTTAATTCCCTCGTGTTGTCGAACTGACATCGCACGTGCCCAGGAAGATTTATTACCCTTTTCGCGCGGAACGGTTTTTCGACCGCTCACAATTTCTCATCCTCTCCAAGGTCCCTGATTGAGACGCGGCTTCTTGTTATTCTTTGGCCCTTTTGGATCGTGTTCAGTATAACACCATTCACTTTATCGCCGGTCTGTCCCTCACATCCTCTCTTCAACCACAAACCTCTACACACACTTATGCCGGATATGAATATGGAAGATAGGAAGTCATACTTTTTTACAGAATCTTTGGAACACGGTTGAATGCTGTACTCCCGGAAAGATTGTCACACGAGATAGAACAGTTATACATGAAGTCAACTCTGGAAGTTTCGTGAACTACCTCAGACCTAGAAACGTGCAATGCGACTTAGGGGAACTTTCTCCTGATCTAATCATTATGGATGGACCTTCAAGATGTCCACACAAGTCCAGCAGGACTGAACATCCCCGTTGGAGGCACCGGATCGACTCGATCGGCGACACTCAAGGTTGACGCAAGCTCCAAACCTCAAGAATCGGACTTATACGTCTACCGTAGTTTGTCCCAACTAAAATCTTCAAATGCGGGAGATGTGATGCGAACTCCAATCGTGCTGTAGCTCACCCGTAACTGCACATTGTGTAACTGAAGCTATCTCACTCTCGTCAGGCTGCACGGGACTGGTCAGCTTTTCTATCAACTTAACAAGTATGGATCACCTTACTTGTGTTTGCCTTGTACGTCGATTCGGCCGAATCACAATCGACCCGGTCCTGCTACTTGTGTGGTTTCCCTGACCGGGGATAATCAGACCTGGCTTTTGGGGATATAATAGGATCTTTTCGTTTAACACGAGTCAGATTCATTTTCCATGATTTTGTTATATCCAGTTTTGACCTTCAACTGTGGGATCTTTAACTTAAAGAAATGGTAAATTTCGGATCAGTTTCAGCTTCGTCCTCGGTCACAAGCGATTTTCCGCAGGATCCTTGACCATACACATCCAGTGTGATTCGCATGCTTCAACAGTGAGGTGTGCATTCATATCGCACAGCCGAACCATCGGAGGGTCTACCAACCGCTAGCGCACTTGATCATTGCCCACGTTGTTTCCACCAAAGGCGAAACATTGCACCTAGACAGCGGTCATCAAACAGGACTGTAGGAACTGACCTGTTTGATGTCAGTTCGATTCAAGCGGCATATTCGATAAATATCCCGTATTCGTATCATTCCCTCAAAATTGCTCTTTCACTGATACGGGCAATCGGGTGCAACGACAAGATGAATGTCTGTGCTATGTGCGCACGTACGCGCGCGCACACACACACACACGCACACTTCGGACACGAACGGACGTCGACATTTCGCCAATGTCTTGTTTGTTCCTACGCCGTCCGCTCGAGTGCGACCCAAGCTCCTCCTGGCTCTTTCAGTCTCTTTCTATAGCTCTCTCAGCGTTATCGGCGTGCGCCATCGACAAGCGCAAGTGCGTGTGTGGGCGTGTGCGTATGCATGCCTATGTTTGTAGACTTGTAGACTTAATGCGTGATTATGCATGTGTGTGTCTGCGTGTCTGCGCGCGCGCGCCATGAGTGAGTGGACAAATGGATAAATGGATGAATGATGGAGGGGAATATCGACACGAGGGTCAGAATGATGAATGCATCAATCGTGTTCCGTGGTGGCTCTTGGTATTGGTGCTAGTGATGGGTGTGGCAATAGGAGAAGGGTGGTGATCGTGATGGTGGTGAAATCAGTTTTCGCTGATTCCCTAAGCTTTATTGTGTCACGCAAAACATTCCCCTCGTCAAAAAGGCAGCAGTTTTTATCTACTCATCCGGAATTCAATAAATGTAGGTTTATCATTATCGAGTTTTTCAAATAGTTGTTTGGCATATTTGAAGTTTGTATGTCGATTGTGAAAAGTTCAGTAGCCTCGGTGGGATTCGAACCCACGCATGGGCACCGCTTACGCTTTGTACGCGCATGCTCTACCAGCTGAGCTACGAGGTCACAAAGTTCATTAGCCTCTGTGGGATAAATGTATTTCAAATGGGCGGTCAGATTGGTCATCATGGCTACTCGCGTAGACGCATATCAATCCGGTTTTTGCCAAAACTAAGATAGAAATTGAACATTTGAACTCATTCGCTTAAGCGATGTGATATTTTGCTGAGTTATCCAGGTTTCTTGTCAGCTTGAGATTCGTCATCCTCCTTCTCCTCCTCCTCCTCCTACTACTACTACCACTTATTATTATTTTCATTGATGTTTAAATTGGTTGGAACGAGAAAGAATAAAAAACATTTTCTGGGACGACGTTCTACACCCCTTTTGGACAGCTTTGCTCAAGCAGATTACCAAGCGAGCAGTATGGTCCACGTGTATTCCTTCGAGCTTGGCTGTGGACATACACTCCAATGCCATATGGTCATATGACCGTGCATGTGTGATCATGTTAAACTCGTCACGGCATGTCGAGAACTGTCAATTGTTCTCATTTCCGACCCACACCCCTGCGTAACTCAGCAGTTCACTGTGACACACTTTTGTGTGATGTTGATGTGTCACCTAGTGCTGACCAGTGTTTTTTACACCTGAGACGTGACAAACCACTACTCACTTTGGTCTTCGTATCCACGTCTTATTGTTTGCTTCATTTGCACATGGTACTTTCTTTTTTAGTAGAGCGTGTGATTATGCAATTTGTATCGCTCCACGCGCTTCACCACCCAGTGCAATGCAGTGAACGAATGCTCACATGATAACAGTGTTTTGAAGCTTGACTTGCACGAGGCTATCCATATTTCAATATAATTTCAACCTAAGGGATGATGATCACCGATGTTTAGATACACTGAGTGATATGGCTGGCTTTCGCAAACAGTCGCACTCGTGCATCCACTCATTATCCCCCTGACACTATTCTATGTGAATTCGCTATCTTTCGCTTGATTTGGCTTTCAACATTCCAATCTTCTTTCTGCTCTTTTATCCAAATGGGGCACCAACAGACAGTAATCAAAACCGGCGCACGAAAGTGCATGGTTAATGGTTGGAAAAACTGAACTGAACTATTTTTCACATATCGATAACTAATTAGGATTTTTAATTTCTTATCCGTTACCAAATAATAAATCGGCTTAACTTCGTGGGTACACATGTGTTGGGACGCAGACTTTTGACTTTAATGGATACGCAATTACAGTTGTACTTTTCTCATTCATTCGACTCACTGTGGCACGATTTACAGTTTCAATTTATTTGCTTCTTTCGTTGGCTGTCTTTCCTTTCATACATCATGCATAGTTTGCGGTACTGTGTGTTTAATCGATGTCCGTCGATGATTGTTTTGTTCTCCGTAATTTAATGTCCGCGGATTGTTTTTTCTTTTTCTAACCATAAAAATTTGCTTGTGCCTTTGTGTGTGTGTGTGTGTGCGCGCGCGCTCACGCCACCAGTCGAATTGCACTCTCAACGATTGAACATTTACGTGACATCCGAAATAGGGATTTTTCACGTCTTTGTTCGTTCCCCCTGGGAGCACATAATCGGGGCCATATTTTTTTCGGTTCGATTACGGGTTACGCGTGAGATTCACAAGGCTGATCAAACAAACTACCTGGGAGCGGGAGAGGGAGAGAACTTACACTGTATACTGTACATGAGGGGTGCAGGTGTTTTAGTTCATTCATTTACACTGACTCAAACTGCCCACACTGATTCCCATGTCTGACGAGGCTCTCTGAGTTGTGCTGTTTCCGCTTGACAATTGGCAGAAAGTTGCGTGTGACAGACAATCGATGAATTGCAATCTCAATGCGTGTCTCTGAGGTGTACTTATTGATCAAAGTAATTCAGCTGTTGCTTTCACAAGAACATCTGACTTAGCGGTGTTTAAGCTCATTCTTATCTACCCATCCATAAGCGGGAGATAAACAGTTCCATCTTTCGGCCTCATATTTTTCAAAATTCTCCCATCTAATTAGACACTCTATCGATTTCTTTTCTATTACTACTGGAACTAACTAGACTCATTTTTGGCTCAATAGTCACAAAGTGATCTGTAATATTCTTCAATCTTCTTTTTTCCACCCCGATTTCATCAAACTCGTTCATGCTCTTTAATCTTGTATTAAATAATCACAAGCGCATCTCAAAATAACGCGTTGTTAAAGTACCCATAATTTGTTTGGCAATCCTAGAGAGAATAGAGAATAGACTATTCAAAGTCAGATTTGGTTGGAATGAGTAGATCGTTTTTACTCGCCTGCTGCTGTTGCATTGCATCGTATGCAATCCATGCCGTGTGAATGTCTGTCTTGTTCCCGTCGTTTACATTCGTGGTGGACTCGTACACACACACACATTGGTGAATCATTAGGGTCTACTCACGAAACGCAATCTTTTTCACTCCGGCTATGAGTGCACATGATTGACAGACGGAAACAATAGTCACAATGTAATGCGTCATAATAAACTGACAGTGTCAAATCCATGACACCAATAATACACATGTCTCAGGGGAATGCTACATAATCTCTAAAATAATAGCTTTCCTCTTCAAGCATGCTTATAATTTGATGCGTATATATTATTCATTCTCTTTAATTAATTGTTTTTAATGTGTATTTTCCGCAAACCGACAGAGGACAGAAATGTTTCACAACGAGATATAGATTCCGCAAACGGACTCAAGCGCAACGTGGATGCGAGACCCACACCGATTCCCATCGCATTCGATGTGGGCTCATCTGACACGACCGTCTCATTCACACTGGACACGTCCTACGATCTGCCGGGTGAGGATGATGAGTCCGCAGTTACCGTTTCCGCGGCCATAGAAGATAATGTACAAATGCACGACAGACTGCACGATCAGATCTCCCATCCAACCGCCACGTGGAACGATGCGAAACAATTCACACATAATCGATCTATTGTGGAACGATATAGGAGAGATTTACGGTAAGCGAGATCCTAAGCAAGAAGAGGATTTCCATTTTCTTCCAACATCCATGCATTATCTGATATTCCTACAGGATATTGAGCTGCTCTTTCGGTTCTTATAAATCCCTTCATGTATCCATTTTACATCATTGCCATCTGTGCGTTCGAAACGAAAGTAGCGTTGGACAGCTCTGCTTTGTATCATCAGTGAACTTAACAGTTTGCTGCACTCTCTGGGCGTTATAGTGACCGTGATATTTTGTATGCCTTTCGAGGTATTCATGTATTCTACCGAACGCTATATCCATTGCCTAACGTATCAATCTTGCGAAAGTCATTGACTCTGTCCGGTTCATCGAAATACAGTTTTACCAAGTGAAACTGAAACATTACTAGTTGGAAATCATTCATTATTCGGCCCGGTACACAAGCTCTCTTCTCTTTTCTTCTTTCCCTCCACAGACTGGTTCCACTTGATCAATTACCTCGGTTCGCGCACTGTGTCTCTATTTATGCAGATGTTTTATATGCGTCCGGTGCATTTCTCCGTCACGCTCGCTTAGTTCGTGCCTGGACGTGGGGTCTGCGATCCAAAGCACTGACACAATCTTCACGACTGCCCTCACGTGGATTTCGGTCTTCCGATGCGGATACCTCGTGGCCGCTTGGATTTAACGAAGTCTTATTATTACCTCTCTGTCCAACCTGTTTTCAACCGACCAGTTCTGTGTCATCCCCTCTCGGTCCCTACATCCCAATAACCACTGTGCGATGCGTGCAATGTAACTGTGATTTTACGGTGCCCAACTCGTCAGACCCATTGACAGATGCAACCGAGGGAACGACTAGGCGACACCTACCGAAATTGCAATGCACTATCTGTCGTACACGAGTTCGTGGTTTGGTATTTCTGTGCGAACAATGCAACCACGGTGGACATATGGACCACTTGTCTCAATGGTTCCGAGGCTCGTCGGCATCGAATCAGCCTCGTCAATGCCCTGACCTAAATTGTCAGTGCTACTGTGTCCTACCGAGCTGTGTCCCTCTGGAAACTGCTTTTGTTTCTTGACTGGTGCTGTCTGCTGTATTTCATCAATGACGGGTGATCGGAATAGGTAAAACAAATATTGTGACTGACAAGACCTCATATTCTGTCATTTTCACTTTGAAACTGATCTTGTGTGTGTGTGTGTGTGTGTGTGTGTGCACAGAATGGGATCGCAATGAAAGAGAGAAGATTGGGCCTAATATTTTCGTCTCTTCCTTTTGTCCAATGAAGAAGTTGTGTTTTTACCACATATTGAAGCGATCTTCTCAAACCCTCCCGTGCCAATTTATGTAACCGAACAAAATGAGTTCTTACATACCTGTTGGTGGTAGTTGGTTGATTGTCCAACCCTCAGATGATTCTTTTCCAGCATTGGAAGTGGAATTTTGGTTGAATTGTTTTATCCCGCGTTCATCTTTTCCAATTTGTGCTGATGCCTGTCAAACCGGGTGAAATATTCGATTGTAACATTGTGTGGGATTTATTCTGTAGGCTATCTGTCTGTCTGTCCGTCCATCTGTCTGTCTTTCTAACGGTGTGCACATGATGGTTTGAAAGAAAGCGAATTGGTTTCGGCATCGTAAACAAAAAATGCATCTGTATTTTAAAGTGCTTTGAAAAATTACTTTGAAATTCTCTCTAATATGAACCACCGAAACCATTAAATTGTAGTCGATACTGACTGGCGGTTTCAAGGCAGGTGGATGGTGGCACTGCTGTCAGTCGGGATACGGAACTACTCGAGCTCACTAATCTGGATTGTTGAACGGGGTACAATATATGAACAGCTCAATTCTGAATGGCTTTAAACTAAATCCCGAATGGTTACTAACAGTTGTTCGACGAAACAGCTTTTGCATGCATCATAAAGGAGACTGTAGGCTTGCTCATTTCTGAATATGACCGAGAAAATGCTCTACATCGGTTTGAGAAAGTCATGATTCTCNNNNCCTGCCTAATCGGAAAAGTGGGACGGACTGTTGCAGATCGGGAACACATGTGTGTGCAGAATTCAAGATCACGGAAGCATTGCATTCCGTTGAATTCTTTTGATATGAGAACACACATTCAGAGGCGCACAAATGTTTTTCATTGCTTCATCTTCTACCCTGTACAGATCAAATAAGGAAATGGCATGTTGAACGGGGATAGGCATTCAGTCATTCACGTGGATTGGTTGAAAGGGAGAGGAATGGGGGGGGGGCAGTAAGTGGTGCGACGTATTTCACTCCCCTAGATCACCACCAGACTACCATCAAACTGTCCTGCGTCATCTGTGCGATCGATCTTCGACCACGGCAGTTGAATGGGTCAATGGGTCAATCTCTTTTGTGCACACAGATTGGGTTTGAACAAGCAAATGTCGATCGCTTCCGCAGTGGATAGGGTGTGGAGACGCAGTGACCTGGATTGGTGACGCGGTACTCGATAGATTATTTTCGAAGGCTGATTCGGGCTTCACTTGGTGACCCCAGTCTACTAACATTCCGTCAAGTTTGGTACACTTTTGTCTGGTGTGTATTGCTGAATTAGCTTAGCGGGGGGAGTGAAAAGGATCAGGAAATGAGTTCAGACGGACGGATAAGTCAACGTACTTTCTGAGTGAAACCCCCAGAATGGGAGCTTATTTTATTATCTTTACTACATAGATTCTTTGAACAGGTTATTGGTGATTTTTCAGGACACATTGAACTCACATTATAGTGATATAGGTGGGGATGTGTGATAGCTACTTGACCAACCGACTGCATTTTCATACATGATCTTCAGTTTATCCAGTCAGCCATACACTCAAGAATCATTTAGCCTGGGCCTCGTTCACCTAAGAACTCATCACTGATGGACTGTCGATGACCCGTTAGGAACGTGAACTTCTTAGACATCACATAGAAGGTGTGTGTGTGTGCTACAACTATGTCAATCATCTCACTGTGGGATTAACCAAAATAATCAATTAAAGTTTTTTTTCGCATGTCATATACAATGATAGTCAGTCAATTCATAGGGTAGGGCAGTATACAATCTTTTTTGATAAACAGCAGAAAAGGTAAACTCTATAATTATGAACGACCTCCTGTTCACTCACATGAACCAGCAACCTAAGCCCATGAATTCGGAGGGACGAAACAGCTAAGGATCTGATAAAATAGGCACGGTATTGATCTGGACAATAGAAAAAATGGTGACAACAACAGACTTTTCTGATAAAATCTTTTATTGGAGTGACTCTGTTGGTTACTAACTCACAGGTTTTTACCGCACACAAACATTAATGTGATAAGCAGCAGGCTGGGTGAACTCCATAACTCCTGTTTGGTTACCGGAGTCGGAAAGTTGTGCTCTGTGGCCTGGACTGGTGACCAAATAAAAGGGCTCAATAGGATAGATGTGTTATTCCTTTAGGTCATGGAAAACCTGCTTACCGTAAAATTGGACAGTCCAAAAGTTGAACTTTAGTGCTCGGAAAGCCCTAGTAATAACTTGAAATGACAGAATGTGAAATAGCGAGGTTTTCCAGAGCATCATTAAGCTCTTGATTAAAATATTCAACTGTGACAACCCAACAGTATAAAACGAAAGA